TCAGAACCAACAGCTACAATTCCCGAGAATAATCGGCATCGCATGAGGAGTACGGAGAGTTGAGGCTGGAGCCAAAACATAACCACTTGGCTTGGGTTTGGATTTGGATTTGGTCAGGCTTGCGGCAGAGGGTGAACCAATGACATTTGGTAACGGACTGTAAAAAAACATAGAGACAACTCTCGGTGCAGAGTAAGAGTGATCGCGTCTTGTATAGCTCCGGTGAAGCAAGGAGAGAAGAGAAACTCTTGAAGACACGTGCAACGCAGCTCGGCCGAACTCATGTTTCGTCTTCTTCTCCTTTTCCAGGGAAGTCATATCATAGTATTTTTAGGTTAAAGGTCTTTTGAACTTCCAAAGCTTTTTATAACCAAAAGCGTTCCGGTTTAGTATGGTATGACAAAAGTTGTGGAAAAACACTAGGAATTGGATTAAATTAAGTGACTTTACCTTTAATTTATATCTATAATATAATAACTATATAAATCACCAATCACAATTTAAATAGTTTTTAAAAGCTAAAATCAGAAGAAGAAAAAAATGATTGTAGAAATTTTATTTTCTATAACAAACATATTGTTGTAGGATATTGTAGAAATATCTTTTATTTTTTATTATTTTTTCTTTAATTTTTACAATTACATTAGATATAATTACATCAGAAAAAAACTAAAAGACTAAACCAATATAAAATATCTACATCTAAGTCAAACCAATCGTCCTCATTATTTTTGTAATGGAATTGTAATTTATTTGAGGTATTAATTTGGGCGAAGGCCTAATTTTCAGAGCAGACAATTTTTCAAGAAAATATTCATTTTTTACCACTAAATTAGAAAAAATGGTCTCAAACAAGTATTTTCATCTAATTTCTCACCATTCATAGTGGTCAAAAATACTTTGTCAGAATTCACATTCGGTTAGAAAGTAGTCAATAATTAATGACCATATAAGCGGTCAGTAATTTCGTCAGAATTATCGTCGTAAACTATCACATAAATGTTGACCATTTCCTGACATGTTACTAATCCATTTTATTTGATGAGTTGTCAACCATTTAGTGACTATTTCCTTTGATAATACTAGGTTCATATTCCCCACGCAAGCGCATAGCCGGAGAAAGTGATAACCATTGTGATGATTTATGGATGGAATTTTATCGTTTGTTTTGGGACATTTTTTTATTCGGGGTCTAACCAAAAACCCGATTGAATTGAATTGATATATGAATAAGTGGGAATTCATATGTTTTGAAATATTCATATGTTTTGAAATAATCATATATTATTTTAGTAATGATTTTCTCGAGTATTTTTGTGTTATTAGTAATGTTTTGAAAACCGGACCGGATAATGAACCGATGAGATATTTGGGTCACGGTTCAACCCGATTTAACCGGATTTTAATAATAGTATTTTGTATATATATAATAGCATCACCAAATAAATATACATACAAATATACTTCCTATTTTACCGTTAATTGTGGTAAACTAAATACTGCTGATTTGTTGACTTATTCCCTACCATAAACCCATCCACCTTTAAAAAATTTCAAATATTCTTTTTTCCATTTTCACAACCCACGTTTATGTTTCTTCTTTCTACCTCAGTTCAAATTGAGTTCCTGTAAATATTTCATTTATATATTTTTTTTTGTTTTCATGCACACAGAAGGTTTCTTTTTCGTTTGCTATATAAAATCTACCTAAATCAAAGCAAACTGAAATAAAATATTATCATCAAAGATAAAACAAATTTTTAACTAGATTTGCATTTATAAACCGGGTTTTTCATAAAACCGGGTCAACGGTTTTATGGGTTTTGGCCGATATCACCGCTTCAACTTGCTTTCGGTTTTAGGCCTGACCCGGACTAAGCTAAGTGAAGGAGTCACGGTTGAACCGGTCCAACTGGCCAGTCCGGTCCGGGTTTCAAAACGTTGGTTATTGGTGCTTTCTTGTCCAAGATGAATAGTTTATTAAGTTGTTATTGTCTAATTTGTAGGTCAGTAGCATATTATTGTTAAATAGTGAATTGGTATTTTTTATATATGTTTCTAAGATTTTTTAAAATTATACAAAAAATATAGTTTACTAGATTGAAGAGAGAAAGGGGAAACATGGTTGTTAAGAGGTTGTGCAAAATGTTTAGGGGTTAATACTTATTAATGAGTAAAAAACTGTTTTTATTTGCAGATAAGTGTGTTTAACGAATTCATACGTGTTCGTATTTTTACATTTTTGTACGATTTAATCAGATCTTAACGTTATTAGCGATTTAATGACTATGTAGCCGAATATATGTATTTGTTAATATACATCTCTAATATGAGAATGAAGAAAAAATAATTTTGTTATCCAAAAAGAAATATAGTTTTTTTTTAATGTGTTATGACATGTTTTTGAAAATATATAATTGTAGTTTAATAATGCTATAATTTTGTATACTTATATACTTGTATGACAAAGATAGTTATTTTTGTTTGTATTATGTCAAAACTATTTTGTGGTAGTTTAAAAAAATAGGAATGGTGGATTAAAAAGTTTAAAGTGGTATAAGTCTATATTCGAACACAATGAAAACAGAGTAGCTGGGTTTTTAAATGATTGAGCCTGAAATTCGATGAACTTTGAGTCTCAATTTAGGTCTGAAACTAGGATAATATTTTATTCCCCCTTTTTTATTTCTCCTCATCGTCTTCACCATTGTGACAAGCTCTTCTGATTCTTGGCCTGGTTGGGTTTTTAGTGTGCCAGTTTGTGAAATTATAGTTGTTCTACAGCGGCATGGAAAAGAGATTTGCTCACCTCAGTTAAGGCGGTCTCTGCCGCATTCCTTTCTCAGTGAACTTATGTTGATTCAGCGTTCTCAGAACCTGCAGTAAGAAAGTTTGAACTTGTTGTATGACTTTGTTTCTATTGTTATTAGTTTCATTTACTAAAAGCCATACTGAATGATTTGAGGTTTCATATGTTAATTTGGTTGGTATGGCTTATGTTTACCTTAACATGACTTAGAGACTCGAAGGTTCCATGACGGACCCCGGTGACGCTAGTTTTAGGAACTGGAGAAGTAGAGAGAGACGTTTTCTAGAAGATGGTTAAAGCTAAGAGAAATTGATGAGTTTTGTGGAAGTACAGATAAGGTTCATCAAAGATGGGAATCATATATATAGGTTTTACAGAGGGCTGCGAATCAGGAATATTTATGATCAAGCAATGTAAGATGGGGAGCTGAAGAGTCCACCGGTGAAAAAAATAGATTATGACCAAACACACGGCGCAGCTCTATAACTTAGATATGTCTGAAACGATGATGAAAAGAACCTTAACTCATGTTAAACGACGCGGTTTACAATATGGCACTACAAGAAATATGAGTATTGGTAGCAGTTTGTGGTAGCACGAATTCATCAACTGCTACCAAAAGAGTCAAAATCAGATTACAACTCTATCGTAGTTTAAATTTGCGCTAAGATAGAATTTCATTAAGCGGGAAAGAAAAATTTGGGGATTTCATTTATGCTAACACTTTTTTACTAAAATTTTAGTTTTGTCCGCCTAGAAAAAAAAAACTCGTTCATCCTATCTCTCCTCTTTTTTTCCTGACTTCCCTTTCTTTTTCTCTAGCGATGTTTTTTTTTTTTTTTTCTTCCTTCAGTCTATGTATCTTCTTCCTTCATCTTCTTCAATCATAAAAATCAGGACATTATTTGTTGGAAAAGATGAGTGAATCAGGTTCTTGTCGATTAGTTCCACTCCAATCGAGTTCAAAATCAAACTTTAGAACCCTAATACGTCTCTGCTTCATCTTCTTCTTCTTGTCTTTTCAGTTCCACCGGAGCTTTCTTATCTTTGTTAAACTCTGGGTCTTACACTTGGTGGTTACTGACGAATGATTAGAACGCTTCCCTACACTCTCCACCGGTATCCACCTTACCGGAAAATGGAACCCTCTGCTCCGGAGCATCTCCACCGCCGGGTCTCGGCGTCGGGTTGATATTGTCATGGGTTCGACTGTGGATTCGGATTACTCGCCGAAAAGAAGCAGTAGCAACGAGCAGACGGGGTCGATTATGCTTCTTGGATGTGATACACCACTCGTGCTTACTCTTACCTCAACACTCTTGTTACTGTTCTGGAAGGTTTTTTTCTGTCTTCTTAAGAGGTAAAGGCTTAAGCTTTATTGTTTGCTTTGAAGTTGATTTGGTTCTTCCTCGAATTGAAAGTAGGTTGAAGTTCGTTTGTTATGAATATATAAGTGTAGAGTTTGAGTCTTGCTTGTTGATTAATCCCTCTAAGTTGTCTCAAAACTCATAAATTGTGTACATATTCTGTGATATTAACAACTGAGAGTTGAGGCTTAGTTGGAAATATGCAATTACATTAGAGAATAGTGGTAACATGTCAACTGATGTCTAGTTTTATCGTTAGAAAGTATGTTATTTTAGTTTTGATTTGTAATGTTCATTATCATCCATACATTGGTTAATAGTTTCGGAACAATCAACAATGGCATGTTCTGTGATGTATGAGTTATAGTAGATGATACGTCAGAGAGAAGAATGTTAACTGTTTAATCATTTTTAAGTCTTTAATTAGCTTGTATTGTTTCTTACTGTTTTGAAATCTTGTAACTGAGCTTTGCAGAGAAAATTGGAAGAGATGATGGTCGCTGGCCATGGTGCGGAAATGAAGATGAAGAAGCTGATGAGCATGAAGAAATAAAGCCTTATGCTTCACTTCTGGTAAATTTTTGTAATCAGTTTAGTTTTCAGTATGAAAAAATTTCACGTTTTGTTGCAAAAGAGTTTTATCTCACGCAATGGTTTATCGTTTGTGTCTGTAGCCTGAGAACTGATGTATTAAGTTGCAGTGTTGATATTTTTCTCCATTAAATGATTTGCCTTAGCATGCATGTACTGATATTTTCTGTTTGTTCCTTGTGAATCAAAAGGAATGATGATGTATGATCCAGGTGAGGCGCTGAAAGCGATAGTAATAACAAGCAAGATATCTTGTGACAAAATGAGCCTATGTGCAGGGAAAAGACTCAGTAACGCTAGCTCTTCAAGCTCCGAGTTCCACGTGCTCGTGGTGAGCGTTCAAATCAGAGTCATGCCACAGGAGCATACCTTACAAGACAAATATCATCCAAATGGAGTGATTTTGAGAAGTGGATATTAAGAAAGCAAAACATGATCATGATAAAAGAGAGATTGAGGGAACCGATGATGAAAAAAAAATACTTGTTCTTTTTTTTAATGTAATAGTATTGTTTTATGCATTTTTGAATAATTTATGTAATAGAAAAGTTATATGTATTTCTATTAGAGTAAACTATATTTATCATTCTCATTGCAATATATATGTTATGAAAATCAATATTCCAATAAATAATTTATGCACTAAAAGCAAATTAATGTATATTCTAGATAATTTATAAACCTAATTTCAAACCCTATTCCCTAAAGTCCAAATACTTTATTTCTAACCCTAATCACTATACCACAAACTGAATCCCTAAACCCTAAATTGATTTTAAGCCATAAACTTAAAAACTATAATCTTTTCTTAATATAGTTTCTCACATAAACACCAATATTAAAAAGTAAACCCTAAACATAAACTTTGAAACTCTAACTTCAAACATAAACACCAACATTAAATATAAATTACAAATATTTAATAAAGTTTACTCTCAAAACTTATCCTAAACTCCATACTCCACTCCAAAGTTTGTGTTAAAATTTTAGTAACATACTTTACTCTCAAAATCTTATTCTAAACTCCAAACTTCACAGTTATCAAATTCAAAACGTAAACAGTTATATCCATTTTCTATATCAAACAACAGAATTTTAATAATTTTAAAACATACATCAAATCTCTATCAGAATTTATTAAAAGAGAATCCGTGTATATCAAAGATAAATAAAACGAAAATGAAAAAACGTCTTTCATAAAAAAAAAGGTTCTCATCATCGTCCATTAGATTAGCCAAAATCTTACGGACCAAAACCCTTCCTTCTTTTTTTCTTTGTTTTCATTGGTTGATACAAAATGGTGTGGATAGCAAAAACTTTTAATCTTCACCAGTTATGAAAACGTATCCAACGGATAAGAATGATACAGTTTTTTATTTTATTTTTTCTATCTTTTCTTCTTTTCCTAGATCTTTGACAGATCTCTCGTTTCCTAACTCCCAGTCTCTTCTTTCCCTCTAAATCTTCATCTCTTCTAATGCTCTTGCAAGCTCCGACCGTACTTCCATGGACATTGAAGGTAGATGTAGTGGTCTTCTCTCCCTCTCTTTCCCTCTAAATCTTCATCTCCTCTAATGCTTTTTCGATTTTTTTTCGTCATTGGTAGTGCTTGAATCTCTCGACTTGAAGCCAAGCTCCGCCTCCTGATGAACCTGACGACGAAGCCCAAAGACGAGCCGTTTTTATTGGGCCGAGATGCACCTGATGAACTTCTCTACCGCTTCTCAGATCCGCCAGTCTCTGTCTTCTCTGGTCTCTCTCTCTCTCTCTCTCTCACTCTGTCACTCTCACTGTCTCTCACACTTGTTCTCTGTTTTATGAGTTTGAATGTTTATTGTTCTTGTTACAGGGGCGGGGAAGAGGAAGTGGAATGGATAATGGGACGCCTGGTGGTTGTTCTTGTTCTCGATAGGTATGTATGATGCAGTCAATATTCAATAGCCATTGTTCTCTCTCTTGTTTTGAATTTAATTTGTTTGTTCTTGTTACAGGAAGAAGCTGTGCTAGTGGAGATGGAGCAGAGCAAGAAAAAGAAAAATAGTAAGAGGGAGAAGGAGATTGATGCAGTTATTTGACGGCAGCAAAGCAAGAGTTGCTGCAGAGTTAGGGTTTAATTTCTTAGGTTAAGTTGGTTTAGTTTTAGGTTAATTATGGTTTGGTTTAATGTATTTTTTAAAAATTATTTGTATGCTGATTTTAATCAATAAATAAAATTTAATCTTTTATGAATTAACTTGAAATTTAATTTTTAATTATTTTATTTTAATTAACTCGTGTTAATTAATTAAAATTTAATAATAAATTTATTTTTTTAATTATTTTATAATTAATTATAGCATTATATATATGTCATTATTAATTATGTTGTGGCATGTGGAAAATGCCATAGAAAATCATATAATAGCAAAATTATGGTGTTATTAAAACATTTTAATATAGCGTGGCATAAATGCTATAATCTCTTTAGTTTTTATAGCACACGAAAATACGCTACGATAGACGGGGGATCTACCATAGCTGCGGCTGTCACGGCGTTCTTCGAAACGCTACGAAAACCCTATAATAGCGTTTTTCGGGTGCTACCAATACCGATATTTCTTGTAGTGTGGGAAAACTATATTTGTTATAAACTTGAGGATATTCTTCATATAACGTGATGAAGCCCAATTAAAAATGAAAACCATAATACACTTGCAGGTCTGACTCTCAAATGAAGCCAAAGAAGCAGGGGCTTCTGGCTTTCATAAATATATATTAGTTCCGACCATCAATGTATAAATTATCCTTTAGTTTAGTGGTATGAAAGTGTTTGTATCTTGATAATCCGGGTTTGAATCATGGATTTGAGACTTTTAACATATTTTTAAAGTGGGATCTACCTGATATTGAGGTGACACGCTGAAAAGTTTTGAAACTCATCTATTATAATATAGATTCTGACCAGCCTGTGACAATATATTAGTGACAAACTTTTGACCACTTTTTTTCTAACCATCTATTATTATTTTTATTTATTAATGAACAAAATTGTATTTAATATAAATAAATGAGAAAATCAAATATATTTTATAAAACCGAAATAATAAACCTCAAAATAATTCTAGCATAATACTTAAATAAAGGTTGAACAAAGCTATTTCTTGTAGTTAACAAACAAGTTAAAAATGGTCATTACTAAATTTTTAATTACAAAATAGAAGCTTAATAACTAATACAGAACTATTCTTGAGTGGCATCTTCATCCTTATCTAGCAATTTTAGAAATTTGCTAACCACTTTATGAGTCAAGTTCTGCAAATATTTTATAACTTTATCTTGGTCAAGTTTATCATTCTCCAACGTCACAATCTTCTCATTTGCCACATCAATCTTCTCATCTGCCAAAGCAATTTTCTCGCTTGAAATCCGTAATTGTTCATCTTTGTCTAAGTTAAACATGAATCTAGTTGAAGAAGATGGTTGTTCTGAGTCTCGTAGTGCTCCAAACCCAAAACAGTGACCTTTAATTACAGGAATTTTCTGTTAAAAAAAAAAAACACAATATAAGGAAAGAATAGAAAATATGAGAGACATTTGATAAAACTAGCCCAAAACATCAATTCAGATACAAAGATAGACCCCTTCTTCAATCAAATACAAAACTAATTTTTGAATTAGGAAAATGTCTATTTACCCCTTATGACTAAACAAAAAACTAGAATGTTATTTTACATTTTTATTCTTTTGAATTCTACATTTAATAGAGAGAAGTCTACAATGTCTAGACTTATTATGAAGTGAATTTTGTAGACTTCTTATAACGTCTACATCATAATTTAATCCTATAATTTTATTTTAAAAATTTATAAAATTAAATTGTGTGATTTTTTTTATAAAATCATCAATATAAGAACTAATATGAGGTATATAAATTAAAATGTGATATAATTGAACAATTTTAAATACTATATATTGATTGGGTAACTATGTGTTGGACAATGTTTATAGTTTAGAAAAAGATGTTCTAACATGTAATGTCTTTATGGGGTGGATTCTTAGGATTAGATTTTATATTGAGATTTTTTTTTTGTTTCACTGACATAAATTTACATATAAGTGTTGGATAGTTTATATTTTGTATATTTTGATATTTTCTAACTGTGATTCTTTTAGTTATCAAGCAAACTTATAGGGTTTGAGTTTCGTGGTGTAGGGTTTGGTAGACTGACAATAAAGTCTACTTCCCTATACAAGTGATTTTCAGTCTATTTTAATTTAAAAATCATTATTTTAAAATTAAATTGAGTTCTTTATGAATTAAAATATGAAATCATAAAATATAATTATTAAAAAATAAATAAATAATTAAATAAATCATATATTAAAATTATATAAACAATACAGAATAAACAATAATTATGAAATAATCATAGTAGATTCCCAAGTAAATTTCCAAAAAATCTAGTGAGTAGACTTATAACAAAGTCTAGTGAGTAGACTTATAACAAAGTCTACTCCAAAATCTAAATTTTAGTAGACTTCAAAAAAGTCAACACTATCAAAACTTTTAAGCTAGTTACAATTTATGTCTCCCTATATAAATGAAATTTACACTATCTCTTTCTAAAATGGCAGCACAAGTTTCTGAAAACTCTCTCTCTTCTCTCCAAAACTCTCTCTCTTCTCTCTAAAACTCTTTATTTTCTCTCTAAATTCTTTGAATGTGAAGATTCACTTTTGTTTAATTTGATAATATTTATATCAAATCTTTCTCATAATATTATCTTGTGTTTGTAGGTTTATTCATAGTTATCACCTTCCACTCTAAATATGTAAATCTTAGATCTACAAATTGAAAGTGTGTGTGTTTTATGTTTATATTCAAATAAAGTTATAAATACAAACTCTATGCATTTACTTTGCTAGGATTTCATCTTATAATTTCTACTTTTGAATTTTTTCAGATTTGAAACTATTTTTAACATTTTTCACATGTACATAGTTTTCAGATCTGAAATTATCTGTTATAGTAGACTTCTAATGAAGTCTACAAAACAAAATCTACAAAAATAGAGGTGACTTTTAAATTTAAAGTTATTTTCATGTTTTAATGTATATTTTTTTCAGATCTAAAATTTTTCGGATTGAGTAAACTACAAATGAAGTCTACTAACCTTAACTTTTAAGTAGACTTCATTAGAAGTCTATCAAAATATTATTTTAATATTTTTCTTATATTTTTATAATTTTATTTTATTTTGCAGGTATTCTCTTCCAAAGTTTTTAAATTATATCCTCAAAATGTAAAATTTACATCTATTCATTTTAAATATGTATCTTTTTGTAAATATTTTGTAATTGTACATTTTTATATCTGAAAAGATTTTGGTAGTGTAGACTTTAGACTTTTAATGATTTAAATATGTTTACCTTATGTTTTCTAATAATTTTATCTTATTTTGCACATAATCTTTTCCAAGAATTTATTTGAGACATCAAGATTGTGAATAATCAAATACTCTAGATTTTTAAATAAATTTCTTTGTAATAACTTATCTTTACAAAATATTCATTTATAAATAACTATTCTGATTCATAATCCATTGACATTGTATTCATTTTTTAATTGTGTTTCATTTATATGATATTATTAATTTTTGTTAGCAATCATTTTTCAGAAAATACTTTAATCAACCAACTAGTTAAAACCACCATAAGCTTAAACAACAACTAAGGCATACATTATTGAATGTGTTTAAGTTATGTAATCTGTAGACTTGTTTTGTAGTAATTTTAGAGATTTAAACAAAACGAAAACTAATAATACAGAGTAATAAGAGAGTAAACTTCAGCGGTTGTCGACTTTTCTAGATGTGGACTAATAAAGAAGTCTGCATTTGTTGTAGACATTTAAAAAAGTTTACATTGCCGAAATTAAATTAGTTTAACACTACATAACAATACAGAAGAAGCATACAAATTAAACATAAGTTCATCACATAACACAACAAAACAGAAGTACAACATATACCACTGACTCAGTTATTACAGAAGTAGACGTTCAAAAATGTTCCTGTCCAGATCATAATCTTCTTGTGCCGTTTAAAGAAATTCACCATGTGTACAACCATCATGCACAACGAACATTCTCTTTCCTTTCCGATTACCAACCACGAACTCCCACATTGAGCCTCTCATCATTCATTCTCCATAAACAACATGTAGGTGAACCATTCCTTGGAAAAAAAATGGTATACCAAATTAGCAAAGAAATTTCATGTTTAATAAAATTACAGGAGTAGACGTTCTAAGAATACATTTATTAGCTAACTACATAGTCTAACCATAAATTGATAGTTCAATAATTATAACATATTATTTTATGAAAATCATTCAAGACTATGAGGAATACCTAAAACACAATGCGAAATAATAAAATCGTGAAAAACCTTGATGAATAATACACAAATTAACTTTTAATAGAAATCGTAAGTAGACTTCACTATTAGTCTACGAAGAGGTAGACGTACGTATTAATCTACATATGTTAACTGTAATATAGGTCTACAATTTGGGTTAGTTTTTGCAATTAAAAAATTTACGGGTTATTTTCAAAGTTTATATGCGTAGAGTTAATAGTAGACTTCATATACAGTCTACATATATGAAGTGGACTTTGTTTACAGTCTACGCTTTACATTGTTTTTGAAAGAGGTTAGTTTTACAATTGACCATGTTTGACTGTCCAAAAGTAGACATAAATAACCATCAACGAAAATGTGGACTTCAGATGAAGTATACTCTTAAATACGATAGGTTAGTTTTGTGTTTGACTAAAATAAAATAGTAGACTTCCTATCCAGTCTACTTTTTTAGCTTAGTAGACTGCATATAAAGCTACACTTCAGTTAATTATTGGTCAATATTTTAACGATTTAGTCAAACACAAAACTAACCTACTAAAGAAAGTCAAAATTTGGTCAAATGCAAAAATGAACTTTTGTAGAGAATTCAGAGTAGTCTACAAAATGTAGACTGCCGTAGAAGTCTACTATATGCAGTAAAATTTTGGTTAATTGCAAAACTAGTCTCTTTATGTAAACTTATGATGAAGTCTACTGGAATAATTTTTTTGTTATCAAATGTAAATTTGTATACCTATATTGAAGTCTAATTTTCATAAACAAATATTTGGTCAATTTTAAAACTAACATGTGTGTTGACATGTAGACCATATCGTAGGTCTACAAGTACTCGTAGACATACAAAACAGTTTACTATCGCGACACATATCTGAAAATTTTCAAAATCTATGTAAATAGTTACCTTTTTCCGGTGTAAAGCTCGTTTCCTGGCTTCTTCACCGTGAAACCTCCAAATATGAAGAAAAAGAAGCAGCTTAGGCGGATTTTACTGAATAATCACGAAAATATGAAATTTGTGTTCGTGAAAATGAAAGTTATGGAGTTTTATATGTGAAACTGGAGAGGAAATGAGAGGGGATGAAGGTTTGTTAGGGTAGAATGAACAAAAGATATATGAGCATTAAGAGCTCAATTTTGGTTGTTAATGGTGGTTGAGAATATTGATGATGGTGGCATTCTTGTAAAAAGAAGAAATAGATAGGATGTTTTAGGTTTTTAAACAATTTCGAAAATTTGGAAAAAATGAGTTTTAACGGCACTTTTGTAAATAGTTGAGAAAACTAGGGAGGATTAAAGTAGTTTAAGGCAAAAAATTGTTGGAAAAAAAAGGGGTTAGTTTTAGGTTTTACCAAGATTTGTAGGTTAGTTTAGCAAAACACCCAAAATATGATAACTATATAAACAATAATTGACTCACCCTTAAAATGAGAGTGTTGATCTCTGCTTGGGTAAGATGGTTTGTCTCAGTTGATCCACCTTTAGTTAGCTGATCATTTATTTTCTATTGGACCATCTCCACAATACGTTTCACCTCCTTGTCACAAATATCACCAGACTTGCGATTTCGATGGGCATCCTCAAAATATGCTTAGCATATCAGGTTCTTCCAATCCATTTTCAATGATCTTACCAAAATGAAAAGTATAAATTAACTAACAATTATAGTTAGCCGCGGGATAGGCGCCACCAGTCGTACATTGCCCGGAATGCTCCATCTTGGCTATATCACCTACTCGATTTGGAGTCTCAGTAAGAAAGGGATTGGGTAACCCCGTTTCTTTCTCATGTGATGGTGTCTACTGACATCTCATTTCCTCTTTATTATTTTATTCACTTTTGTTTATTTTATCGAACTATGTACCTCTATCAGTGTTATAAAAAAACAATTATAGTTAGCCAAAATAATTTTAACATCTTTGCGCGTTTCCAAAATCTTCTCAAGATTGCAAAGAATAATTGGTATGTCGGATTCTAATTGTCGAATTCCATCAGGGGTTAGTGATCTTGTACAAAGGTTCCAGAAAGGCATTTATC